GACATGTCACATGTCCCAGGAGGCTGTGGGACCAGTCTGACAGTGCATGCACAGTGTGAAACAGCAGAAAGTCACATCAGGCTCTCACAGCTAAGATGGCAGTGCTGGAGGTCTGAAGCCTAGCAAAGAAACAGTCTGGGTGAAGACAGCACTGTACTCCTGGACTGGTGAGTGCCTGTTTCCTAAAAAGCCACATCTAAAGTATTTGTAGCTGGTGACTTTTTAATTATTTATTTTTTTAATGACTGGAGCTCCCATGGCATTTTAAACTATAAGCATTACTCCTATTCATGTTTTTTTTGCACCAGTTCTATTCAGTATGTCCATTTAACAACCAAGTCTGATTCTATATAACATGTCTCTTCCACAATCACATCTCAGTTGATAGTATATAAAACAAAGACAGAAATAAAATGGTAATACTAGCTTTAAAACTGGATGGAAGATGGAAAATCTTATCTGCTGTCAAACGCCGTACTCTAAGTATTTTGTTTTTATCTCCCAGCATTTGTTATGATGATACTTTATCGGGTATTATATTGCCATAACGTTATTACTATACAGCTACTGTAATGCCGGGCTCACTGTTTGATCAGGGAAACTATCTCTGGTTAACAGGAATAACAATGAAAAACTGACATACTGAGTTATGACAGAGAATAAATTCCTTCTGGAAGGGTTTGTAATGGAAGTTATATGGTGGCAGACAGGAATAGGCAACTGAGGTAACATGAATAAATACAGATGTGAGTAATATCTCTCTCTGTTCAGTACAGGATGCAAGAGGAGATAAAGACATACAGCTCACAGCTAAGATGCATCAAGGTTGAGCTTTCCTAAGCAAAGACTTTAAGGAGAACTCAGCTACAGCTACATCCAGGGGGGTGGAAGACGTGGAAAGTAAATATTCTTTTTTTGAAGATGTTTAAAATGTAAAGAATGGAGATGAATACAATGTTCTAAGCTTCAAGGTTTCAAGTTTGACAAAATATTTTTATTGAAAAGACACAGTTGGAATGCAAGGGGAAATCTTCATACTGTGATCAATTTGGATCAGTAAAGGGCTACTTTGAAGGTAAACTCCAGGCAGATTAAAGAACACCAATAATTACAGTTACATATTTATTTAAAATCATTAAATGCATTTTTGTTCTTTTTATTTCTTTGAAAGAAGTACAATCCATGTTTTTCTTTTTAATAAATCAGTACAGTAGAAATAAATCTTGGGCTCACACTACTGCTGTACTGAATGCGCATCTAATGTCATCATTACTGAGATGTCGAGAGTGGCCTTTTGCACAGTTCTTGTCCTGGATAGTGAGAAAGGGACTGCAGGGGTGAAGGAAAAGCACAAGTGCCAAGGTGTAGCAGCTGTGAGAAGGAACTTGAGAGCACTGGTTTCTGACGAGGACAGGTATAGGTGGTGATGCACTGTGGTTACACCAGGTTTAGTTGATGGTGAACACAAGGATGTACACAGAATCAGAGTCAGGAACAGGCAAAGGCCAGCAAACATCAGGCAGCGAGGTACAGGGTCACTACGCGGAGGCATGGTCAGTAGTCCAGGCTGGGGTCAGTCGCAGAGGCAGACAGCAAACACGAGCAGGCAAGGGTAATTCTAGAGCATAGTCAAAGAGAAAGCCGGGTCAGTAACAAAATCACAGATGTGCATCAAGACTGGAACATGTGGACAAAGCTGAAGGCCATACAGCACAGGACCAGTGTGGGATTCAGGTTTAAATAGGCTGCTTGTCAGCAGAGGACGTGCATGTATCCATATGCGCTTATGTGTGCAATCTGTCCTATATTCTCACAAGAAGGGTCACACCTATGCCTATGTGCACATGCATTAGCCAAACAGCATGTCTCAGCCTGACAGCTGGTACCACGTTCATGACTGGAAAAAAAAAGGACAAGGTGAAAGTTGTTAGGTACATTTTCCATTTTAAACCTTTTCATTTTGTTTTTTGTCTATTTTGTAATATCTTCACTTTCATTAATATTTAAATTGTTATGCAGCATCTGTAAATGTACTAACTGGAAATAAAAAGAAAAATCTCAGTGTCTGTGATCACTGTCATATTTTAAACTCTGCTATATTCCTGTCTGGTGTGGCAAAGAGTGCCACAGACATTTCTTAAAAGTCAGAATTGCTATAGCAAATATTTTGAACTGTGAGTGTTTCTGTTAAAACATGTGGCAGCTACGTTTTGTAATGTAAAAAGGTTGACTCTGGAGTTATCCAACCCCAGTGAGTATTACTCATAGCAAGCCATAGACAATTCAATTTTCTTTCCTTCCACAAGTGGGAGAAAATGAAATCACTCGATTCCCCCATCAACACAATCAATGTTGATGAGGAAATCCCTCCCAGAGAGCTATTGTGTTCTGCCAACAGGGAGCCTTCCTGGCCAGCAGAACACAATGATTACTGCTAGTGGCTAAAGCTGCTGGCATTAATCGCATGTAAAAAAAAATCCAACAGGCTGGTTGTCCCAAGTCGATTGATGGCCCAATTTGGGTACAAGCAGCCTGCACATAAGTGGATCAAATATTGGCTGGTCCCCCCTGAACCAGCTGAGATTCATTCCATCTATGGCCTGTTTGTGTCCTGTTAAATGGAAAATCTCTGTGCAGGGTGAGGCTGGGAATGTAATCATCAATTTATGGCAGCAGACTGAATGTGGATGCTAGTGTCCTTTACAAAAGTGTTGACCAACCGCGATGTGAGAGCTTGACCATACCCCTAATGTGAACAGCTTATCTGGAGGAATAAATTGAGCAAGTATGCTCATTGTGGTGCATAGAATGCAAAGACAGCGAGAATAAGTGCTGGCAGATAAGCAGCAGAAGGTGGTCAGCTGAACTAAGGAAAGAAAGAAGGAAAAAAGCAGGAAGCAACAGAATACTCATCAGGACTACAGAATGAAAAGGGAAAACTATCTGCTAAGAGCCACAATTTCAGTTGTGGACAACTGCTGATCACTTGCTCATGTGAACCCACTACAGATGGGTTCCTTGCAGGCAAATTGTGCAACATACAGGGCACAATATGGAATATACCAACACACTAATTACTCTGTTACACTGCTTTCCATGCTCAGAGGTTGGTGCCTCATAGTTAGTGCAAGGCTTTTACCACCTAAAATGTATGGTAAAAGGTTATCTTCACACATTTACCTAAAATTGACTTGACCCTTAGGTTACCCTTCAAATTTAAAGTGATTGTAAAGGTTGTTTTTTTTATTATGATTAAAATAATAAACATGTCATACTTACCTGCTCTGGGCAATGGTTTTGCACATAGCATCCCTGGTCCTCCTCTTTTAAAATCCCCTGCCAGTGCTCCTGGGTCCTCCCCACCATTGAGTTCCCCCAGAGCAAGTCGCTTGTTATGGGGGAACTCATACGTGCTTATTCCCTGAGCCCTGCTCTGTGTGTCCCTCATCACTGGCTCTGATTGACATTAATGGGAGCCAATGGGGAACGAGAGAGCCTCGGCTCTCATGCACATCACTGGTTTGTGATTGGGCTCAGGTATGTATTTAGGGGGGCTGTGGGGTAAGCTGCTTGCAGAAGGTTTTTTTTTAACCTTACTGCATAGAATACAGTAAACTTATAAAAACCTTCTGCTTTTACAACCACTTTGATCCTAGTTGTGAAGATGGCACTTCCAGCCTCACTCTCCACAGAGATTTTGCAGCTCATGGGGCAACAACCAAAGTGCTAGTAGACTAAGAGTGATCATTATAGGGCCAATTTACTCTTTATTACACGCAAACACTGGCTGCCACCACATGACTTAATGGAAACTTGCACCATTCAGGGCAGAACTGATCTGTAGGAACTAAGAAATGTCTGCAACACCCATTACTATGTCAGATGGGGATGAAACAGTGTTTAAAATATAGTAACATCCTTCAGAGGCAAAGATTCTTTAAGTTTTTAGCACATTTAGGAAATCAGCTTAACAATTTTTAAATATTGTTGTAATGAAAAGAATAAAAAAAGGTAGAACAAAAAAATGTACAGAAAAAATAAACCATAGCAACAATAAAATGAACAGGATTAAAAGCTATATTTTTTAGTCTCTGGGTAAGGGGGGTAACAGAAATGAGATACCCAGTAAGCGGGTCTGAGGAATGGGTTGAATTAGTATCAAATTGTTTTATGATAGTTCAGCAGGCACTCTCTCTATGCCAACTTTCCTAACTATTAGGATTCAGCTGAATGTACCTGTTTCGGTTTGGGGAACGCTCACTAAACATTACTGAAATTTGGGTGCCGAACCTAAAGTCAGTTGGAGCCAAATGTTAAAAATGATAATTTTCCAGGCTAATAGGCAAGGGATTGCCAAAAAAATTGCCTAGGGACTGGGGACTGTCCTGGGGAACATGTACCAAGAAAAAAAATGTTTTTCTAACTTCTGTTTGTAAACAAAGTGGCCAGGGGTTCCATTCATCTACAGCAGCGGTCACTAAATGGCAGACCATGGTCCAAGAATGGCCCTAGCAGCTCTCCCTTCTGGACTGCCAGCCCGTAATGACAGATCCACCGCTGAGCAGGATGGTTGTCATGGCAACTTGACATCACATGTGCACTCGCCCCTTGCAGTTCACTGTTTCTCTGGCTCCTGCTCCCTGCCTGTACACAAGCATCCTTCAGCAAGGATCCCGGCACAGCTCCTGTCTGCCCTCAAGGCAGGGTCATGCTGATGGGCACATTTAATGTTAAGGTGCACTCTGATGGGCACAACATAGAATGTGCTCATCAGAGTGCCCCTTAACATAAAATGTACCCATCAGAGTGCCCCTTAACATAAAATGTACCCATCAGAGTGCCCCTTAATATAAATGTGCCCATCAGAGTGCCACTTAATATAAATGTGCTCATCAGAGTGCCCCTTAATATAAAATGTGCCCATCAGAGTGCCCCTTAATATTAATGTGCCCATCAGAGTGCCCCTTAATATAAATGTGCTCATCAGAGTGCCCCTTATTTTATATTAAGGGGCACTCTGACGGGAACATTTTATGTTAAGGGGCACTCTGACAGGCACCTTTTATGTTAAGGGGGCACTCTGATGGGCACATGTTATGTTAGGGAGCACAAATGGGCACATACTGTGGAAAGGGGCACTCTGATGAGCACATGTGATGGAAAGGGGCACTCTGATTTACACATGCGATGAAAAGGGGGCACTCTGATGGGGAAATATGATGGAAAGGGGTATTTTGAGTGTAAGGAGGCACTCTGACTGGAATACATGATGTAAGGTGGCACTGTAATGGGGATACCTGATGTAAAGGGGCATTCTGATGTAAAGGAGCTCTCTGATGGGCACACCTGATGTGATGGGAATACATGAGGTAACGTTGCACTCTGATGGTGACACCTAATGTAAAGAGGCTCACTGATGGGCACACCCTATTTGGACCTTGGCCAGAAGAAAATTTTAGTTACCGGACCTCCTTGAATTTTAATTCAATACCCCTGATCTACAGTATATTGGATCCTTATCCAAGAGACAAGCCTTGTATAGATTTTAAAATGGTGATGAGTTGTCCCTAAAATACATAGAAGCCCCTTATCCTTGATGAGGATCTAGTATAGATGTCAAGTGAGACCCCCCAAATTCCATACCAGACCCTGATGTATGGAAGGACTTCCTGCACCCCCTTATTGGGAACTCTTCTTGAGTGCTCTTTTTACCTTAGGAACATTATGGCCAGGGCAGGTTCACTTTAACCTAACATTTAAACAATTAAAACCTAATTCTATTCTTAATCTTATTATCTAACCACTAACTCAAAATTTCGCCTAATCTTTGAATTACCCTTTTAAATCCATGCTTATCTCATCATTGATAAATGTATAAGGCCATTCTGTACCAGGAATGGTAAAGAAAGCTCCTGGTCTTTGCACCAAGAACAATCAATACTGAGATATTGGCATTAATCCATCTGTGGTACTGCATAGAGAGTTGGAAAACATTGACTGTTTTTAATAACACATTCACAAACATTTGAGCTCATTTAATACATTTGGAGAGTATCAAAAGTAAGACTGTTTTGCATGTCATCCAATTAGAATGTAGCTTTCATTCTAATTTTTCTACTGGAAAATTAAACAGCAGGCATAACTGGCTACTAAAGACAACGAGATCAGCATTATTTTACAACATGAAAAATGTGAAATGTATTATGTATTGATCAAGTCATCACAGTGATCACTCTGTGAAAGGTAGTTAGATGCAAAAGTCAAGCATCTGATTGCGTGGAGTTAGTGTACAGCTCCATTTCCTTTGAAAAAAACCCTGTGTTACAAAGATCTCCAGAAATGCAACAAATCATAAAGAATTCTAGATTCAATTATAGTATTATAAAAAATATAAAAGAAAGACAAACACACATAAGCTAAATCAACAAAATATATTAATTACATGTCTTAAAAAAATTAAAATGTTAATTAGGCTCTTTGGCATAAAATCAGAGCCAGGTGTTCAGACTGCAATTTTCTCAAGGACTTCAGAGACTTGATTATCACATGGTACAAGTTTATCTTTGATCTAATGCATTTTATGAAGCCTATCTGACAGTTTATGGTAATGTAGCATTTTGTATGAATGACTAAAGGCGGCCATGTTGCATGCTAATGTGTTAAACAAAGTGGCTTCTCTCTTCTTTGCAAATGACCCCAGTCTTTCCATTAGCAGATTAAAATCTGTTCAAATTTATTTAGTAATACATTAGGAGAAGCTTTGGAATAACCCATAGACCCATATTATGCTTCAAACAATTGTAGCAGTGGAAGTAATTAATTAAATTTAATGAAACTTCTGTTTATTTTCTGACCATGAGTAAAGTTCACTTTTATACTGTAGCAAAGTGCACTTGTTAGAGCGTCCTTTTTTTCTAAAGCATGTTAATTAAGATACATCTTATGCTCATCTTCACATCTGTGAATACAAGGCTTGGTGCAAACATACAGTTTCCTTTCTATAGCATAACCGGGTCCTTTAACCTTTTCCTCCAATCTCCATCTTGTTAACATGTGCTATTACGTATTACATCCTGTAAACTTTGATATTCATATCAAGCAAGGAAGCATCATTTCCATGTGAATAATAATTGATTTGCTTAAACAAAGGGTCCTTTACAAAAAATGGAGCTCCTTTATGACAGCTGGAAAATAACAGGAATAATAGTCAGATTTTTATATTATTGTAACTTTGTGATATCATGCATTATAAGGTGTCAACACTATGACTTAGGGTTCTATTCTAATAGACCTTTCAAGTAGAGAAGAGGAGAAAGTGAGGTTACTTAGAACTGCCCTGCCCCCAGAACTTGTGATCAGACTTTGGACTTTTGAGTGCTTAAATATTATTTACACACAGTAAATAAGCTTTTAAACAAGCCCTCACTGACCCCTGTAGCTGAAAACACTGTTGAGCAATGCATCCTCAAAGTTCACAGCCGAATGAAGTCTTTCAAGCCTGTACCTGTAAGGGATATTAAAAGAATATGTTATATTTATGATATATTTACCTGCTCCGTGCAATGATATTTCCTTTAGGCTACATTCACGCCGACGATTTAGACAGGTGTGAATTGCAGTGGCAAAAATCTTCTGAGACCTGTTACTGCTATTAGCGGCTAGATTCCAGAGTTTCCTGTAAGAATAGGAAGTGGAAGGAGTTGAGAGAAGGAAGTGAGAGTGCAGTCGGGACAGCATTGAAGCAGTGGAGGGTGGGGTAGAACAGATATTGTGGCATTTTTTTAATATTAATGCAGCAAATGCATCTGTGTTTAAATGAGAGTTTAGAATGCTTAAAGGCTGCCAAGAAAACGCTAGGAGGTGGAGCACGGTGAACTGAGCTAGCTTAGCTTAGAAATGATCCACAGTGTCTACAGCTTAAGAGGTAAGTGGGGGTTTGTTTAACCACTTTACAACAGTGCTATAGTCAAAAGACGGCTACAGCACGGTTGTCCAGTTCTGGGAGGGCTTCATATGATGTCCTCCCAGAACGTGCCCCCAGCAGCATGCACCCGGTGCTGTCAGTGACCGCTGTGTCCTGTGGGCACAGCTGATCACATGACTAGCTAAAAGGCCAATCACAGCGGCCTTTTACCATGTGATCAGCTGTGTCCAATGACACAGCAGATCACAAAGTAAATACAGTTGCCGGTTATTGGCAGCACTTTCCTCACGTTGCCACAGCATGAGGAAAGTACTGCCAATAACCAGCAAATGTCACAGAGCAGATCTGCACTGATCATCAGTGCCCAGTAGTGCCACTCATCAGTGCCCAGTAGTGCCACCCACGAGTGCCCATCAGTGCCGCCCCTCAGTACCGCCAGTCAGTGCTGTCAGTCAGTGCCCAACAATGCCACCTATCAGTGCAGCATCATCAGTGCCTCCTTATCAATGCCCACCAATGCCACCTCATCAGTGCAGCCTATCAATACCCGTTAGTACTGCCTATCTGTGCCACCTCATCAATGCTACCTATCAATGCAGCCTCATTAACGCACATCAGTTAAGGAGAAAAATTATCTGTTTGAAAACTTTTATAATAGAAACAAAGAACATTTTTTTTTCACATTTTTTGCTATTTTTTGTTTATAGTGCAAAAAATAAAAACACCCAGTGGTGATTAAATACCACCAAAAGAAAGCTCTATTTGTGTGAAAAAAATGATAAAAATGTCATATGTGTACAATGTTGTTTTTCTTCCTGTCTGTGACCTCATTTGTGGAAATTCTTCCGTCTGTTTGTACTAGAGAACATTGTCAATGAGAAAGAAAGTGAGGGGAAATCCAAAATTTTAGAGTTGTTATCAAAACAAGAGCTAAGGGGAAATCTAATGGGAAAAACTGTTTTGTGTCTAAGAGCAGCATTTCCTTCAGTTTGGGTGATGTCCTCCAACTTTCTGTTGCATCATTAGCTCAAGAAGTGAAGGAAAATGTCTTCAATAATACACAGATAGCAAAGTAATAACTCAGCAGGTGTTTTAACCTTTTCTATATCCAACACCACACAGGAAATAAGAAGACTTGGCTATTCATACAGTTTATGAATGTTACTTTTCTAAGGTCTAAAAGCTAATTAGTTATATAAATAATTTGGCAACTTGCTTATGACTTTGATGTGACTTTGATGCTACTTGCTTGCAAATTCCATGTGAATTGGCTAAATCATAACACCAGAATATAAACAAAAGAGGCACTGAAAAAAAAAAAGTGCCTGGGGACCCCCCACTTATCCATACTAGGCCCTTAGGTCTGGTATGAATTTGGAGGGGAATCCCATACCAAAATAAAAAAATGGCATAGGGTCCCCCCAAATCCATACCAGACCCTTATCCGAACATGCCAGAAAAAAGGGGGGACAAGTAAGTGCTTTCCCCCTGAACCATACCAGGCCACATGTCCTCAACATGGGGGGATGCTTTTGGGGAGGGGATCTCCTTTCCAAAACACCTTATCCCAATGTTGATGAGGACAAGGGCCTCTTCCCCACAACCCTGGCTCAGTGGCCCAAGGGGGTGACTTATCAGAATCTGGAAGCCTTCTTTAAAAAGGGGGCCCCAAGATGCAGGCCTCCCCCACATGAATGAGTAGGGGTACATGGTATCCCTACTCACTCACCAGAAAAAAATGTCAGAAGTAAACATAAACACATTTATGTTTATTAACCCCTTCATGCCTAAGGGTAAAACAAATCTTAACCTCCCTAGCGGTATTCCCAAGTGTAGCTCGGTGTAAAATGTCAGTGCCAAAAGCGGTAACCCCGAGCTACACTCGGGCTTACCATGCGGCGCTGCATAGGGAGTCCCTGCAGAGCTTACCTTGTCCTTCGCTCCCGCGATCTGTCCCCTGCAGTGTCCCCGACCATCTCCTCCGGCCGATGCCGGCATCCGGCTTCTGTGTTCCGGTCCCTGTGACGTCGGGACATACGGGCGCCGGCGGCGGCGGGAAATTTGAAAATTTAAAAAAATGTCATTTTTTTCAAAACACATTTTTCATAGTAAAACATTGCTGTTTCAACCCATTTCACATACATATTGTCCCTAGTGCTTTGTCCTGTCCCGTCTGCATTTTGTCTGTTCTTTCTGCCTGGAAACTGAGAAACGTCCATGGCTTCCAAAAAGTGTCCCTTTAGGTCAAAAGTGGGTTTAGATCAGCTAGAGAACAGCGATAGTAAATCACAACCACTTGCAGAATTGAGTGATGATTCATGGGGAAATTCGTCATCAGACACTGAAAACGATTTTGCGACTTTGCTCAGCAATGTACGAATTTGGCGCTCTATTTCAAATTTCAGTGTTTTCGGTTTGATTATATTATTGAATTAAATGTATTATTATTATATTATTATTTTTTATGATTATTTATTAAATTATAATTTATGATTTCGTGTTTCAAATTT